AACAGGGAGCTCCAGAACTGAACATCTTCACAGGTTCAGCCTGTGTCTGACAAAGACCTTGGTCTGAAAAGCACAGGGAGGAGAAGGAGGAACAACACCTGAGAAGCCAAAACATACTATTTCAACACTTCCAAAATAGCAGGGCTGAACTTTTTGCTTTGAAACTACCTGTTTCTGATTAAAAAACCACTCAAAAATATCAAAACAATATTAAAAAAAAACTGGGAAAAATTGCTTTTGAGAGCTCAGCATGCTGAGTACTGTGGTGATGCTGGAATCATCATTTTGGCTCAGACTCACTGCTTTAGTCAAACAAAAATTACAGACAGAAACACAGTAACAGTGCTTGTGACAGTTTGACTTCTGTGCCTTTCAGCCATAAACTCAAAAAGGCAATTATTTGCCCAGTTCTAATGAAGATCAAGTGGAAGGAAAAAGAAAAAAAGAAAATACACTGCCTGTGAGCTATGAGCACACACCTAGTGGTAGTTTTGCTAGGGTGAGGCTTGTAAGGGACCTCTAAGAAATGGCATCAAAGGAATCAGGACCCTCCTCATGTGGTTACCATGCTGCTGACTGCCACCCCTCCCTCTCCAGCCCCATCCCACATCCCAAGCAAAGCAATCCATCCAGCACGACACAAGCAAGCAAGGTGCCAGTGAAAGCTACCAACCCCAAAACTCAGGTGTGCAATGAGAGGAGCGTAAAGCCAATCCCTGAGCCCCTGGGTATTGCCAAGGCATCACTCAGCACCTTCCTTCAGGGCAAAACTGGTTTGTTGTTTAATTCTTGGTCCGTAAAACCAGGGAGGGGATGCTGGGAGCCAGCGGCTGCAGCGTGAGCAACAGCACCCACGGCTCTGCACCCCCGCAGTGGCAGCTTGGCCTCGCAGCCAGGCACTCGGATCTCATCAGGAGCCCAAGGGGCTTTGCAGTTTGGGACTTTAATCTTTTAATCTGGCTCTCTCCTGCTGCTGCTCGTGGGCGTGGAGCGCACGGCGCTGGGTGAACCTTGCGGTGCCTCTCCCTCACTTGCTGCACCCCGTGCGGTGGATCCACGTTTGGGACAAGGAATGGAAACCAAGACTGTGAGGTGGCAATAGGCCAAGGCATCGCTCCAGGGAAAGGGCTTTCAGCACGTGGGGTGAAAAGGCAGCCCAGTTTTCCCGGAGACGAGGCAAATCAAGGCCAGATAACAGAGGTCTCCATAATGTGAAAGTGGAGACATGAGCACCAGGCAATAATTTAAAAATTGTAACCTGGAAATAAAAATACATTGGTGCAAATGGGGGTGTGTGCTTGCAGCTGAGACCAGGTAGCTGTTGGTGCCCTCCGAAATTCCTCCCCCCACTCCCACGGCAACATTCCAAACTCCTCACAGGTGAGCCTGCAGCATGCTTGCTCTGCAGCTTGGTACAAGCCTTTCACCACTGACATTTAGAGCCAGAGGGCAAAATCTTGATGTTGCAGAGGTCAGGAAGTCGTTCACCACTTACTTTGCCATGGCTAAGTAGACCTCTGAATCCATGCTGAAGCCTCTTAAAAAAGTAAGCTGGCTTTCAAACATGCATTTGTATATTCAGACCCGAGTACCTAAATGTTAGAGGCATGAATTTAAATACTCTGTGCCTCAGTTTATCCATCTCTCGCTGGTGGCTGAGGGTTGTTCACATCACAGCACTTTAAGAAGCCAAGCCCTGACAAAGAAGCCCAAAGTCTACAGGTAAAGTCTGCAGGAGAGGGGAGTGATGACTACCCTCCTTTTCCAAGTAAGGAGAAGGCTTCTGTGCCTTCCAGCTCCTCTCTTGGCAGCGAGCTGTGTGTAGGCAGTGGTCATAATCAGGAAGTGCCTCCTCCAATTTACAGCTGGTGGTACCACCTGTGCCTCTCCAATTCCAGCCAAAACAACCACCTCCTCAAACCCACTTGTAAGGAAGGGCAGAGGATCCAGCTCTGACAGCTCAGAGGGAAAAGCAAGGCTCAGGTTTAAGTGCTGACATTTTCCCTAGATGTGTACCACTGCCTACCACATTTTCTTTCTTCTTGTGAAAAACAATTGCAGTGCCTGCTGAGAGAAGGTGGTCCCACCGTGCCATAACAGCAAGCAACTGATAAGTGATGGGGTAGACATGAGACAACAAGAGAAGGTGAAGACACTCAAATTTTGCTGGGTCAATGAGCGACCAACGTACTTGCCTGTGTGGCAGCTGGAATGGAAGAAAGTGGAGTCATTACTCATCATTTCAAGTCTGTCAAGGATTTACTTTCTGGAAGAAAACCAGTGGGTTAGTGACTGCTGGGGAGGCAGAGAACATTTTTGTACAACTGAGACAGAGCTGTGTTTATGGGAGTACGTATGTGCACATGCCTCATTGGTATTATCCTTCTGTCTCCTGCTCTGGTTTTTGATTGCCAGGACCTGCCTTCCACCTCATCATGGTTGAAGCCATCTCCCTACCAGTGCAGCACCTCAAAAAACAGTTCTGGATTAGCACTCACTGCTTTAATCCACTCCAGATCTCGAATGGAGCTCTTTTACTTGGGAAACTGGAAACTCGAGGAGATTTTGAATAACAGAAATTTGTAAGAATTACACCTCTGGTCAGCCAAAACTAATACCAGAAAGGGAAGTCTTGCTGTTCCCATCAGTGGAACTAACAGCAGTGCTTCTCAGATTTTCATTGACAAGATAGTCTGGACAAAAAGAAGGAAGGCCATACCTTATAAGGTGGCATTAGTTCTGGGGGGCTTAATTTTTCTAAAAATGCATCCCTTGCGTGGAATATACTGTGTTCCTGCTCTGGTCTCTCTCACAGAACTTCAGTTGACTTCTCTGAAGTGCACAGGGCCAAGAGGCACTTATTTTCAGATTTACTAAATGCCTACATTTCCAGTTAATCTGGAGCTGTGGGTGCCAAAACCTCAAGAGAGTCACTTACCCTCACTGCAAATATCATCTCAGCCTCTCTAATGCCACTGGAAGAGTAATAACCTTTTGAGAAGACTTAAGGGCACTCTAAAAGCTATATACAGAAAAAAACAAGAAGATCAGAACGAAAGCCAACAGCTTCTGACATCAGATGAAGCACTTCCTTTCAGTGTTTTCTCCTTTTGATTAGCTATTTCTTTTCATTTATATCCCATAGCCTCAAAAAGTTACTTTTGAATTATCTGTTGGCTGCAGATTTCCTGTAGAGACCCAACCATCTACTCATCTTTGAGAAAGTACCCCGCTGCTGCTTGGTCCTACAATTGCTTCCATATGAACCTAAGGCAGGCAGGTTCTCATCTTCCATTTAGATTTTTTTTTTTTAATGGATGATGAAAGCAGAAACAATTGAGCCATACAGCTCCCTAAAGCTTTTGATGTTCAGCTTCCCCAGTCCAGCACCATGGCGACACACCAGCGCAGGGAACATCCACTGCACAGCAACAAAGAAACATACACTTTGCATTTTACAGAAAGTGCTCTTCACATGGCAAAACATCTGTCCAAATCTATAAAGCAGGCAGTTTGCTCTCTTTTAAGGCAGCCCTGATGCAATACCTGCAAGTATTCCTCCTTGAAAAAGGGGGAATATTATTTTTCTGCTAAACTCTGTATCCATTCATCGGAGCCCCTGCACACGCCATGCATTGAAGAGTTGGATTTGATGATCCTTGTGGGCCCCTTCCAGCTTAGACATGATTCTGTCCCTGCTGAATTCACACATTCACTCCCAATCTCCTGAACCTGGGGTTGTCTTGTCACTGGGATCCAGCACCAGGGGCTCCTGACCCATCCTTGTCAGATATCCTGGTGCTACTGTCACATAAATAAACCATAAATGTCCCTCTAATCCACCAAGACACATGTGATCACCTCAGATCCTTGCATCAAGGCAAGACCCCCTGGGACAGCTGGGAGCACACAACACAAATCACCAGCTCCAACAGCTGTCCCCAGTCCCACCATTGGCCATTTCCATGGGATCTAGATTAAGGAGTCCCACTGCTTTCTTCCTGTAGCTGCTTCCTTGAGGTAGACCAGCAAATTTGCCTTTTCCTAAGTGGTGGTGCCTTAGAGAGCACCAGTGACAGCTGGATGAAAGGGATCAAAGACTAGCCTTGTGATCTGTCAGAAAGTGACTGCTGGCCAACACAGACATGTGAGACCTGGGCTTTAGCAACAAGCAAGCAAAAACCTAGCCTGCAGCTTTGCTTTCCTCTGTGCAAGTTTGACATCACTGAGAAAGGTCACATACAAATAAAACCCCACTAAAAACACTGAAATGCATGCAGAACAAAACCTCTTCCAAAGGGTTTGCTAAGAAAACAAAGCAGAAAAGACACGGTCACCTTTGAGTATTGTGTGGATGGCTGCAAAATTGACTCCAATAATTGCTTTATAGGATTTTCTCTTTCTAAAATTCACTGCCATCTTTTTAAAGACAGAACAACATATGATCTCGTTAAGGTGCTGATCCATCCCAAGGTGATGAATACTATCAGGGCTGGGAGCTTCATCCCTTACCTAACATTTCCTGTAGTGAAACTTTCTGGCTAAACTTTGACATGGAAAATTTCAATCCAAATCATTAGGCTGAGTTACCTTGAATTGATGCATCTTCTTACCTGCTTTGAGAAGTCTTGTATCACCACCCTCACTACAGAAGACATTAAAACTGAACACCCACTACCTTCAGGAGCAGGGGTAAGTTGGTCTGGTGTTACCCAAAAGAAACAAAGAGGTGGAGATCTTACACAATCAAGTGTTTTTGACAACAGATGAACTTTTTTTTGGTAATAAGCAATTTTTCTCATTCTGTAAGCCTTTTCTACACTAAGACTTATTTTTAGCACTGGCAAAAACTAGCTTATAAACATACACAGAAGATTTTACAGTAAATTAGTATCGCTGTTCGTTACAATATGTGCAATTCTGCAACCTTCCAAAAGTAGGACAGGTTTAATTTTACCTGTTTTGAGGGTGTTACTGACCCTTCACATGTACTGCTAGAGGGAAGATCAGATGGCAGATCCTACACCGTGCTGGGAATAAGGAAGAAGCTGAATGCCCAAAGGTTGCTGCTGCATTTCTCTTTTCCATTGTCTTTTCTCCAGAGGGAACTGTTTAGAGTGAGGATGAAATGACTGTGGGAAAGAAAAAAATGTGTGAAAAAGGGAACCTGAAAGAGTGGTCATTAGAAAACTCTAGAACAGTGAGAATGTTTCAGGTTTGTTGAGAAGCAGAACTATTCATCTCTGTGCCACATGCAAAGTCGCTGAACTACGCTACTTTCCTTCAGCTACACACCAGCTTAATCATACAGATTTCAATTATGTAAGCAATTAAAAATAATTGTTTTCCCTCAGCTGGTTGGGGTTTTTTTTTCCCCACAAAATACTGACAAAAATGGCACATGTTTCTCCTCTTGCTTGAATTTACTTTATTTGTGCCAAAATTAATTTCTGACCTCTAATACATGCTCCAGAAAGTGGTGACTGAAATAGAAAGCAAGACTTTTCATCTGATTAAATGTTTTTATGGTTTATGGTCACACAAGACCCACTGCCTAGTGCTTTCCTGCAATTCCTTCTCAGAGTTTAGAAATTCCTGATCAACAAGGAACATATCTGGGAAACCCAACCACAGCATTTCAGGGAAAAGAAACTAAAAGGAGAAGGATTTCAGAAGTGACAGCAGCATAAGAGAAAAATATGGGGAAAAAAAGTTGGAAGGCCAGCCTAGCACTTACCCACAGATCCCAGCAGTAGTTCCAGGCAGGATTTGTTCTAGTAACAAAAATACCTGGGGGATACAGGTATCCTAACACGACAGAAGTGGCAGCGCTGGTAGAGCTGAGTTACGTAAACACAGTGTCACCTTCTCCTTCCCTGCCTGGATCTCTCTGCGTACGGAGCAGGTTCTGTGGGATCACAAATGGGCAATTTTGTTAGCAGAAGACTTGGGAGCAGATGAAAGCTTGGGTCCACCATCCCCCAACATACCTGCCAGAGAAGCTGAGCTGGTACAGGGTGGAGAAATTAACTGTGCTAGATAAAGGAGTGGTTTTAAAATCTCCTTTTGCCTGGAGCACTGAAGAAACCAAGAGAAGGAATAGCAGCTCTGCAAGGGATGCAGCTGCACGCCACTCCTTTTTGAGGGTGAGCTGTGATACTCCACTCTTGCCTCTTGAATTCTTCCCCAGGGAATTAGAAGCTGGAGGAAAATTAGGGGGTTTTATTTATTTATTTTTACCAACCCATTGTGCAGCATTCTTTATCTGTGATCTAATAACTCTTCTAGCATTCGTAACTTCTGTGATTTCAACCAGAGGAAAAATGCGATAGGATTTTGCATGACTCACGGGTCTTGTGAAATGCTTTCAAACAGCTCATCTTTCAAGCTTTTTGCCCTGACTGAAGCAGGGTAAAAACCCAGGTTCTGTAAAATGGTCTGCACACCAAGTTTCTGCAAAGCATGCTGATTTTCAAAGGTGATTTTCTTCTGAACAGAAAAATTATTCTGGAAAATTTGACAAATATCTACCTGATTAAGCCCCTGATTAAGCCCACATTAAGAATGTGTTTCTACATTCTTGGGTACATTCTTACATACCTTCCCAGAGCTTCAGGCTTTTATCTTTTTTTTTTTTTTTTTCTTTCTCCCCTTCTTTAAAATCAAGGCCAAATTTTCAACTGCCAAAGCAGATCTGCAGATTGGGGTTTGCTGAGCCAATGGGAACTGTTACCTGAAGCTTGGATGGAGTTAGACTGCTCTCAGCTCTGCCGCCACGCTCAGTTTCTGGGGCCAGACTCTCAGTGGTGTAAATCCACACAGGACCACCAGAAATCTGATTGCCAAAGATCACTCAGCTTTGTTTCTAGTGAGCAACTGCCACATGGATTTCCTTTTCCACTGAGCTCTGATGTGCCTGCATCCCTTCTCCTACTCCCTTACCTCATTAGAGCTTATGACAGAAAGGCAAGTCATTGCCTGGAGCTCCTTGAGAGGCAAAGCACAGCTGCAAGCTCCTCATGCCTTTCCATCAGCATTTTTGTGGCACAGCAGCAATGCTCTGCACATCACAGGCACTGAGCCTGACTGCTGCTTGCTTCCAAAACCCACTGCACCCTCCCAGGTTGTGTCCTCTTCTTTGATCTTTCCATCCATCCATCCCTTTGGTCACCAGAACAGGAGCTTTGAGCTTTCTAGTTTTCAAATGCCTGCATTGTTTATGGCATTGCCGACCTCAGCCAAGGGCTTGGCAGTTTTCCCTGGGACAGAGAGGCTCCGTGGGGAGGGGATGGACTTGGGAGGCAGCAGGAGAGAGCACAGGCATGTCCCTGAAAGTCATTCTTCAGTGCAGCTTTGGGAAAGGAAAGCTGTGACCAACACACAAAGCTGCAAACGGTGACACCTGAAACCCTTTCCCACGCTGGGGAGAGTTGTTGTGCTGCTGTTACAAGTAACTCCTCTTACAAGGCTTACTAATAACAACAATTAGGAGTAGTAATAATAGTAATAATGGGTTATAGAACAAATTTAGGGTTCTGACTATCATTCAGCAGGGAGTGAAACATATCACAACTGTCTCTTTTAGAAGTGCTGGGAAAACTTGTCAGAGTTAAGGATTAAAGCACCAGGCAGATGTGACATTTAATATCTGAACTGCCATCAGACAGGAAATTGCACTTTAAGTTGCATTGTTAGCCAAGTTAATAATAATACTAATGAAAGAAATAAAGAAAAAAAATAAGACAGATCTAACAGTAAGCACTGTGTGCTGTAACCCCTGAGACCAAGGGTGGTCCCTGTACCACAGCATCCCTCTGGTGCCAGCTCTGTGGCTGGGGATGTGAGCAGGCTTCACGTGGGCCTTCTGTACCACTGCGTGAAACACACTGCAGGTTTCCAGGTCACACAGTCGGCCAAAGAAAAACTAAGACACTTTTCAAAACAAATGAAAGTCATCTCTTCTTTCATTTCCCCTAAATGCTTGCCTCTGACATGTCTTGCTGCATTTGCCTCAACCTTTCAATGCTGGAAAGGCTGTGGCACAGCAGTGGCAAGCTGTATGGACTGAATTTTGGCAGAGTTGGATGGAGCAGGAAGGAAGTTAAAGGGGAAAAAGTTTCACATTTCAATAGACAGAGACAAGTATTTCCTATAATAAGGAAACAGGATTTGACAGAATTTTTTTGTGTTTTAAGCTTTTTATACCTCTCTTAATAAAAACTAAGCTTCTTTTCTCCTCCTGCCAGAGTGTATCATGCCTCAGATAAAATCCTTTCGAAGAATAACATGCATACACAGTATAATCTGACATTATTCCAGTGCTACAGGGAACATCTTGAACATAATTGCACCACATGGAAGTTGACTTGCTATGAGAAAAACACACAAAAAAGCTTTCAAAACAAATCTGTAAACACATTTATGCTCCCAATAGCCATGATAAATCCAATTAAACAGCCAGGACGTGTGTTACAAACTGTCACTAAAGAAGTTAATACAGTTTCTATGGCAGGGATATTCCATCTCTAAGCAAGAAATCCTAGTTGCAAACTGCCTGAGGGTCATGATTTTAGTCAAGCCTCACTTGAGAGGACCAATAGCCAAACCAAGACTCGTTAAGCCCAGCTCACCCATATCCCATCTATGCTGGCACTGCATGCCTGACCCTCACTCTGCCTAGTCCTGGCATCACCTTCTCTCTGTGCCATTTAGGGCTTTCAGGGTCTCTACTTTCCTCTAATACAAAAGAGGTCCTGCAGATCCACGTGCCATGCCCCACACAATACCAGTCTGACATTCTACTCCCAATGCATTGAAAACATACAGCTGAAAACAAATGGGGAGGAATTATTTCAGCCTGAAAAGAAGAATTTCTTTCCTGCAAATGCCAGCAGTGAACAAAGGAGGAATGCTGCATTTGGACTGGGAAGGGCATGGTGTTTTGCAGCATCAGGGAACAAGAGACCCTGACTGAAAAACATCTTCTGAGGAACATCAAACAATCTACAGCAAGGTTTGCACTGGCTACCTCTTAGCCACACTGGAAATATAAATCCTACTAAATCAGAAACAGCACAGTAGCTGTAACACCATTGCTGTGCATCAAAACAATTTAAATGTCATCGATATTTCTCATGAGGGAGCAAATTCCATTTATGAGTGCTCACAACAAGAGCAGCAGCAGCTGGTCTGGTTCCCCACTGAAAGCTGGTCCCAGCTGCAGCACCACAGAGGAAACCCAGAGTGTTGTGTTCCACAGCAGTGGAAACCCAGTGTGGAACATCTCGGCACTCAGCCCCACTGCTGGGCAGCCTAATCACACATTAGCCACCCAGGCAAGCCTTCAAAGCTCAGCAGCTAATTATCCTTCAAATAAAGGGACTCAGTGGACCCAAATGTGTTCCACCTTTCTGCAGGAAAGGGCTGAGGAACACCCCAACCATTGCTCCCCCACAGTTTCCCTGGTCTCTTTCCCCATGTTTTTAAGTTCTGTGCACAAGATGGGTCACCCATCCACAATTTTCCACATTTGTCTTCTTCCAAGGTTTGAAGCCTCCATTTTCAGTGGATGTAGCAATGGTCTCTCTCAGGGCTGTGGTGCTATGACTCACAGCAAAAGAAACTAATATAGCACCTGGCTTGGATGCACAGCTTGGAAGCAAAACCAGCAACAGGGAACATTTGCAGAGCAATACATGCCTACAGAACATGATTTAATGATTTAGAGCACTGCAAGTTTTGGCCACTTAGAGATGTTTTAGAGGTTTCTTAATTCTCAGCAAGTGGCAATACTCTGTCTTGAGGCATCCTGTGGCCACACACGATCAGCTCAGTGAACATGGGTGTTTTGGGCTGGAAGAGGCTGCTGCTGACAACAGGCAGTGTGGATTGGAAGGGCAGGAGCAGAGACCTGCCTGTGGAGTAGGATGTTTCTGCCCTGGCCTGATGTCAGCAGGAGCTGCTTTTTTCTGCTGTCATTGAACACAACTGTGGATATTTTTATCCCTGTCCTTTCTACGTGTGGATACCTGGAAAAGCCAGCATCTTATCTCCCTGCAAGGATTATAGACACTTAGATAAAGACAAATTAAGAAACGGACAAGCGTTAGCTGTGTTCTTCCAGCCTGCTGAGTTTATTTGGGCACACAAGCTGCTGAAGCCACACCTGCCTGGCTCAGACACCATCTGAATGTTTGCAGAGCTGCTGGACACCTTGAGCAATAATGACGTGGCCCAAGGGCTTTATGAGTATTTCCAGGTGTGTCTAAGTTGTTTCTGACCTCCTCAGACTGCAGCCTGTTTGGCTTATGGAGCTGGCAGGATCCCCTGGTGTATTTGCTGTTGGAGCTCCTTTGAAGCAGGGGAGGGTGTTTGCAAGCTCACTCTGGCATGTCTCCACACTAAGGAAGCTTGCTCAGAGCTGGGAAGTGTCAAAGGTCCAAGTCAGCTGGCAAATAACACCTGCCTAGGGATGCTTTCCTTTGGACATACAGTTCTGGGAACAGACTTGAAGTTTAATGACAGAAGAAAAGCTCTTTTTTTCCAGACCATGCTGTTTTTGAAATTAACAGCTTATAAAATGTTGGGGTTTTTTTTGGTTTTTTTTTTTTTTAAGGAGTGAAAGAAAAAATCCAAGCCAGAAGCTCAGTCCCCAGTTAACTTTAACACTTTGACATAAAATATTTTATATCCTTGTGCATTCATATCCATAGTATAGAACTGGAAAGGCCAGAGGAATGCTGTGCAATTAAAAAAGGTGGAAGTGCTTGGAAAAGGAGTTTTGACTTTCAACCTGGAGTCACTCTTGTGCCTGCATCTCTTGTGTATTTTCAGCATTATATACATATATAATCCAGCATCCTAATCCTGAGCCAGGCTCCTCCAGGCACCTGTGCCTCAGAGGAGCCTGGTACTGATGCCACAACCTTTGGCAGATCGATAACAACACTGAACGTGGCTCCACATCCAGAGGAAACTAGAGCATGAGACAAGGCTGGTCTCGAGTAGATGGTAGGAACCACAGGGACCAGCCCAGCATCACCCCTCACACTTTCAGAAGGTGTTCTCTCTCCACACTGTGGTAAACTGGACAGTAGATAAACCAGGCTGTCTCCCTGCTCAGCAGG